CCCCAAAACCCCAAAACCCCAAAACCCCTAATGCCTAATATAAAAGTGAAAATAAATTAATAATATTAATTAAATGGCTACAGATAATAGTTCAAATTTTATGGTCGCACTGACATCTACTGTGCTTTCTAAATCCATATCTACTTTAAACCATGCTCCTATTTCAAGAGCAGTATTGCTATTACAGTGTCAAAACTCATCAACTCAAATCAAGCCAGAGAATAGGTATAATGGATTCAATGTCTTCTCTCGCATTTATAAAGAGCAAGGCTTATTATCTTTCTGGAGAGGGAATTTGCCTGCTTGACTAAAAACTATCCCAGTTTTTGTTCTCCATAGATGGTTTAGTGTTCCACTCAAAAATCTTTTTGGACTCAAAGATCCTAACAAAGCTGGAATGAAGAAGTTTTTAGCTAACTTAACTGCAGGAGGATTGGCTGGAACGATTTCGTTAATGATCAGCTATCCTATCGAATTTTGTAGAGTCAGAATGGCAATGGATGTTGGAGCAACACCTAAAGAAAGAATGTTCAATAGCTACAGTCATATATGGTCTAAAATTTCAAATAGCGAAGGATTAAAAGGATTCTATAAAGGATTGCCAGTCTCTATCATTGGAATCTTTGCTTATAGAGGTCTATACTTTGGATTATTTGATACATTTAAGACCTTAGTATCCCAAAATTTTTTCATGATGTGGCTCTTTGCTCAAGGTACTACAATGTCTGCAATGATCTTGACTTATCCACTAAACACAGTTAAAGGGAGAATGATGATGCAGTCTGGGAGGAAGAATCCTCAATACAAGAACTCATTTGACAGCATTAAGACTATTGCAAGGAAAGAAGGAATCAGAGGATTTTATGGAGGGCTTGGAGTTTCTCTAATTACTTCCACTGGAGCCACTATTGCTTTGATGATCTACAGTAGTTTCGATAAGAAATAGTTTGGCCTTAAGTGTTTATCTTTTCGTTTTTGTGGGTGTTACAAATAATATCTTCAAATATATTTATTTTCTCATATGAGAATTTTCATAGGGAAATACTAATATTCGAATTTTGAAAAATCTTCTTCCAATTGATTTTTTTATGAATTGTTCTAAAGTGTTACAACAATTTAGCTAATTACAGAAGATTAATTTTCAACTAATCCTTTAATGCACGGGGTTTTGGGGTTTTGGGGTTTTGGGGTTTTGGGG